GCGATGCCGGCGCTGGGGGTGGCGCGGGACCGGGAGGCCTACCACCACCTGCTGCGCCTGCTGCCCCGGGGGGTCTGGGTGCCCCGCGGGCCCTTCCAGCGCCTGCTGGCTCCCTTCCCCCGACAGCAGGAATGCGGCCTCCAGATCCTGGAGCAGATGGAGCGATACGGTGGGTGCAGGCAGGGGGAGGGGGTGCCTTATTCCTTGGGGAGGGGGCCTGGGGGCCTGGGTCCCCGGAGGAGGAGGCACCTGATGCCTTGGGGAGGGGGCATGGGTACCTGGGTCCTCATGCCCACCCGGACACCCGGGTCCCTGTGCAGGCGTGATACCGGATGCGGAGACACGGTTTCTGCTCCTGGGGGTCTTCGGGCCCCACAGCCGCCCTGTGCGCAAGTGTCAGCGGATGCTGTACTGGCTGCCAAGGCTGCGCCATGTGGACCCCCACCCCCTGCCCCCCAGCCTGCCCCCCTCTGGCCTGGCCACCGCCCACCTGGGCCTGCGCCGTATCGCCAACGATCCCGATGCCCACGTCACTGTCTACCAGGTGGGACATGGGGACAGATGTGGGGATGGGAGACGCACCAGGGGATGTGAGGACAGGGGATGTGGGGATGGGGACACGGGGGGATGTGGGGACATGGGGGTGGGCGGACAGGGGGCAGAGGACCAATGTTACTGTCAGGTGGGATGTGGTTGGGAGGAGGGGGACAGGGAACCTGCCTCACTGTCAGCTGGGTGGGACACAGGGGTGCAGAGCTGGGGCAGGAGACATGAGGTTGGGGAGGCAGAGGGGGCCCATCTGTCACTGTGTCCGGACAGATGTGGCTGGCAGGACCCCCCCCTTGGGGTCCCAGTGCCCCAGCGAGGCCTCGATGTCCCTGGGTCATTAAGTGGCGGCTGGTGACAACTGTCTCCCTCTCACAGCGGCCAGTGCCGGATGAGGGGGACGACGAGGGCTCCATCCAGCCCTACATCGTCGGTGAGCGCTGGAGGACCCAGAGGGACCTGGGTGTCAGGGGAGCCATGTGGGCATCTTGGAGAGGGGGGCAGGTGTCTGGGGCGGGGACCCTTGTGTTTGGGGAAATGCCGGCATGCAGGGGGACCCAGTGTGTGGGGTTGGGGACCTTGGCATGTGCGAGGGACCCAGGCATTTGGGGGAGCCTGATGTAGAGGCAGCCCCTTGGTGTTGGGTGTGGCATCCCCAGTGCTGTGGTCTCTTGTGTGGCGGTATGGGGTACTCAGTGCCGGCACGGGGTCCCCAGCTCCTCCTGCACCCGCAGGTGCCCAGAGCCCGGACCAGCAGGAGCTGCTGTCCCAGCATGGTCCGGCACGGCCCGTCTTCGTGGAGGGGCCGTTCCCCCTCTGGCTGCGCAGCACCCGCCTGAGCTACTACGTGTTGCGGGGGGACCCCCTGCCCCCCCACCTGCGGGTGAGCCCGATGGACCCTGGGGCTCGGGAGGGTATGGGAGGGGACTGGACAAAATCTATTGCTTGGGACGAGATGAAAAGGGAGGGGGCCCCCATGACCCTGGAAGGGGTGGGATGGGCTACCCATGGCCACAGAGGGTTTCCCCTGGCCCAGGACAGGAGGGGATGGGACCCCCATGGCCCAGGAGAGGAGGGGAGGGAGGGAGGAAACTCCCTGGCTCAAGACAGGAGGGGACCCCTGGCCCAGTACGGGTAGGAGGAGACGCCCTGCCCCAACCAGGAGGACCCCCCAGACCCAGAGCGCAGCCTGTACTACCCCCTGCACCTTGACCTGGACCTGGAGCGCGGCCCCTGGGACGACGACGACTTCGATGTGGAGGAGGGTAAGGTGGGAGGACAGGGGCGAGGAGGGACCCCGGTACCCTCCCTGTCCTCTTGACCAGATGTCCCCCGCAGTGGAGGAGGGCCCTGTCTTTGCAATGTGCATGGTGGGGGCAGGCGACCGGCACACGCTGGGCAAGTGGATTGCAGGGCTGCAGGAGGTGAACCCCGTCCTGGGGCGCACCCCGGTCGTCTTCCGCCTGGGGGATGGGGAACCCACCACAGCTGGTGCCCCGGGAGGTCACCCTGTGCCCCGTCTGGAGGCAGCGCCTGCCCGACCCGTGGTGCTGGGGCCCCCCGACCCGCCACGGGGGCACGGGCACAGCACCAGTGGTGATACCAGGAGCGGTGGGGGGCCGGGTGCTCCCCCCGCAGCCCCGGGGGAATAAAGGACGTATTGCCGACGGAGAGGGGTGTCTTGTGTCGGGGGTCCTGGGGGGGACAGTGCCCTGGGGCACGCGGGGCGGGGGGCGACGGACGCGGGTACGCGGGGGAACGGGCCCCATACAGAGCGGCGTCGGTCGGGTGCGGGCAGGACTGCGCGCAGGCGCACTGGTCGCTCAGACGCCTTCGGGGCA